CGAAAGTACGTCAACTGGCGGGCTCCAAAATAAGACATTTAAGAAGCCGCACAATGCGCATCCAAACGCAAATTTCTCCAGTACTAGACTAGCATATACTTCGTGTCATGCATAATCACACTACCTTATGACAAAATAAACTCTAGTTGCTCCCATTTCACTGCGCGTTTGCTTAAAACCACAAGAAAGAGGTGAGAAAACTGCATTCTGGCGCAAACGCCGACTGTTTGCCAAACAATATAGCCTCGAAGTGGTGACGTGACGTCACATGTTTTTATCTTTGCTACACCCGTACCGCTGTACCGCAGCACCGCTGCACGTTTTTTGGGGATTGGGGAAACTGTCAACAACATCGCGAGGTATTTTCAAATACCTTTTATAAGACAACGCGCAGTGAAATGGGAGGAACTAGAGTTTTATTTTGTCATTAAGTAGTGTGATTATGCATGCCACGAAGTATTTGCTAGTCTAGTACCGGAGAAATCAGCGTTTGGATGCGCATTGTGAGCCTTTAAATGTCTTATTTTGGAGCCCGCCAGTTGACGTACTTTCGAGCCACGGCAATTTTTTGGCAAAAAGGGGAATTGCCATTAGTCAGTTCAGGTTCAACGGATTATGCTCATTTTTGGTATGTGAAGGAATATGGGCTGGGGTTTTTATAGTTAAAAAAAATTATACAAATTAGGTAGGGTTTGGTAATTATATAGCATATTATATAGACACGCAGATAACAAACAGCACTTGTGGTGCCACACTCGTCTGGTTCGTTTTACAAGATTTCATTGACAATATCTTTAATGCGAAATTCTTGCTATGAACATATTACATGATTTATACTATTATTATTATATTATTATTATTATGATATACTGATTTATGCTAAGAAACATCAAAGCGGGTGTAACGCCATCTACCGTCACAAATTGTGATTCATTTTGGTTTATAAATTATTTATAATTTATATATAATATTGTTTATTATTTTCACATAAAAAATTACACATAATTATCAAGAGTATATAATGGGAGTTTCCCATATATATACTCTTCGTTTCTATAATGTACGTCGATGGTTGCTCAATTAAAACTGACTTCTTCTCACTCACTCATTTGTGTCCTTTTTTGTGGTGAGCTACAGTGTCATTGACACTTTCATTTCTGTCAGACATGAAAGTTGAACACACACACACCCACCTCACTTCACCTCACCTACATTCACATCACCTCACACGCACACACACCCATACACTCGATCACCTCATCTTGAGTTAATGGCTTGCTGGATACGGCATTGACTGCTTTAGTCACAGCTTGCCATGTCTTTTTATTAACTACAGCTGCCAGTTGCCAGCAAAACTTCCAAACAGTCATCTTTCTCTGTCCCACTTCATAAATTATGAAGTCAATTCCTCTGCAGAAATATTCCTCTTCTTCCGCCTCTTTTACAGTTGCCGTGTATATTTTAAATAACTTTGCTCTCACCACAATCGTTGAGAATGGTGCTATAGGAGATGGGTGGCTATTAGGAGAGTGGCTAGTTCATAAATGCTTGCTTTACGATACCTTACGCGAACCCACGAACTGCAGCAAAGCAACGATATAATAAAGTTTATACTTGGCCTAGAGGCGTGTTGTTGTACGTGCTGCTTTGGGATTTTGAAAAGCCAACATTGATTACCAATCCGATATTTAGATGACATTCTTCTTTTATTGCCAACATTCTGCCTGATGTGCTAGGTGGTGTACAGAATATTGGGAGACAGGAAGCTATGCAAATGACAGACCTTGTGTTTTAAGGTGCGCGATCGCGCTCGCGCGCCATCGCGCACCTCGATTGATCAGGAGAAGTGCGAAAAAACGCGCATCTAAGCATTATCAAAACGCACACCTTTTTTTAAATTTTTTAAATTTTTAAATTTTTTGTGTTTTATTTTTCATTAATTCAACTTATAAACTCGAAGATAAACGCAAACGGTTGTAAACATCACGGACATTGCCGGAAGTCGGTTCACATGTTTATAACGACAGTCGCAAAGCGCTCTAGAACGACGAATGTGATTGGTTGTATTTTTAGATAAAGTTTTAATAGTCTGCTTTGAAAAATTGTGTGTTGTTCCTTTTTCACTAAACATGCTAAATGTGTGATTCAAGTTATCCACATGTTCAAGAACTGATATTTTGTTAGATAAAAAAAAAATGCAGAGCTAATTTTTATCCCAAAATGCTGGAAATGGCATTTCATGAAGTCTAGTTTTCAATTTTTGCCAAGGTGTGCGATTTTTCACTCGCCTGCCCTTTCCAAAACACAAGGACTGAAATGATAAAGCACATTACGGAGATTAACGTTAAAAACAATATGACACGGTTAAACCTGAGCGGTACGACTAAGCTGTACTGCTGTTTGCATGATTAGTAAGTAATAATTAAGACTTGCTTTGCAGCTACAGTGACTTAGTGTGTCAACTTGAGACAATTATTATTCTTTACTGTATAATTCAACATGCTATATTACCTAAATCTTTTTAATATTATTTTAAAACAGTATACTGATCGTTTGTTAACTACCAGTGATACTTTATTGTTTACATCCAAACGTGAAATGCGCGGGGATGTGCGAATTACTCCACAACCTAGCGCACATGAACAGAGAGCGTGCCGCACGACCCGTGCACGTACTAAATAAACCCTGGCCAACACAATGGGAAGCGGGGTTTACACTGGCGATTTTGTGTTGCCGAATTGCCAAATTGTACGAATTTGGCCAGTTGGCAACTGACAATCGGCAGTGTAAACGCAAAAGTTGGACGACCAACCGATCAGCCGCAGTGAGTTTGGAAATTAGAACATGTCCACCGACTCGGAGCAGTCGACTCGGACGTTTTTTTGCCAAGTGGCCAATCAGGGAACAGCAATCAGGAGGTGTGCGCCTCCACCATAGGGGGAGAGCACGTTTTTGCTATCGGCGCCACGCTGGCCGCGTGGAATACATGCACAAATTCGTATTGATCAGCGTCGCCCCGTGCGTACCTACGGGTCAAATGTTGAAACGTTTGCCGCCTCGCAGTCGATAACGTAAGCGCTTTGAATATTTATAGAGAGGTTGGTAGAAAGAAGAAAAATGCCAAGTCGTCTGCATAAAATCGGCCTAAAATCGCCAGTGTAAACCCAGCTTAAGGTTCACTGCCACTGGCCAAAAGTAAGCTCCACCCACTTCTTATCGATTTTTAGCTCGCATTGACACCGTCAAGATGAGCTATTGCCAGGGGGTGTCGTCCGTCGTACGTCCGTCCGTCCGTCAACATTTGGCTACGGTCAACGTTAACTCAAGAACCGTTTGACCCACATGTTTCAAATTGCATATAGTTGTTACTCCTATGGTAGAGGTTTGAACGTCCTATTTTGGAGCATGCCAGTCGACCTACTTTCGAGCCACGCCCACTTTTTGGCAAAAATGAAAATGGCCATCTAGATTCATTTGATTTTGTTAAATTTTGGTATATGAATATGTAAGGCTAGCCCCAAATCAGTTGTTACTCCTATGTCAGAGATGACAACGTCCTATTACGTTTATTTCGTCTAGCTGGTTAACAACTCTACAATCATACCTATATATACGTGTAATATTGGGTTTTAGATTCTTCGTTACAGTAATTTGACTAGAATATTTTATTGTTTTTATTTGCGCGATATTCGAAAACCAAAATGGCGATCATTCAATGGCGAAAATGGAAATCACTGTCAGATGACGCTTGCTCCTGTATGTTCTTATCGTCTGAATCATCGGTGGAGCTATCCGTTGATGAGGGCGCCGCCGGGTAGGCGTGCGTTGCTAATCGCAATGGCTGCTTTCTCGTAGGTTTTTCCTGTGGCTGTTGCTCTTGTTGTTCCTGGGCTTCTTTATTGGGCTGATCCCAACGCAGATATGGGTGAGCTGCGTGAAGGTTGTCGACATGCGATGTTATCTCGCGTCTTGTTGTTTCGTGTTGCAGCAAACATTTCTTCACTTGGGCGTTATAACTTTAATAACGGTGGGGCTTAACTGACCACTGGCCTAGTGCTTTGACGCTAATGAGGCGGGTGACTTATTAGTCGCCCGCGGCCAGTCCCTGTTACCGAGTCTGACGGTCTAAATTCTAATAACTAATTATGACTGAATTTGCTTTATTACAAGGCGTAGCGCCATCTCTCATCAAGATTTCAGACTTTCAGATGTGAAACATTTATTTTCGCATCAAAACTTATGCATATGTCATTATCAAGAGTATATAATGGGAGACATGCTGTATAATGGGAGTTCTCCCATATATGGGTAATTTTCTCAATAAGGGCACAAGTTGGTGAATTATTTTCAAGAAAAAAAACATGCAAGCAACACCTCTACATTTTTATCACAGGTAGACTAGGCACTTAGGAGTACAACCAGGAATTGAGCATCGCTTAATTCGTCCAATTTTTTTAATGGTGAAGGAATTTAATCTCCGGGTGTCTCCAGGCCCTTTCAACTCCGTAACGTTTTCCAAAGAAAGGATTTTCCATGATGATCCATACATAAAAAACAATTTAAAACTGACCAGACACTTGACTATTATAGTATCCAAGTTGGTTTTTTGGAGGAAATCATTTTCATTTAATTAGTAGATTTATTTTTAGAATTCGACAAAATGATGTTACGGAGTTGAAAGGTTGTTACGGAGTTGAAATGTTTGTTACTGAGTTGACATTTCTGGAAAAACCCCTGAAGTTTGCTCTCTTAGCAGGGTCTGCCTTGATGCAATCTAAAGTAATAATGAACAAGACCTAAAGAGCAGAGGGCCTGACATCATAATTGTAAACAACAGTTGAAATATTTAGTAGGGTCATACACAAATTTCAACTCCGTAACGAAATCACTAAAATTCCATTTCCCAGTGAAATGATACTAGTATAGCTACAAATATGTTTTCAAATTTGTGTAATCCTATATAAAGTAATAAAGACCTAAAGAGTAGAAGGCCTGACATCATATTGTAAACAAATATTTGACATTTTAAGCTAGTGATGTCACGATCATCGATTATACTCGATCATCGGTTGAACAGTGGCTCGAACCAAGCGCTTAGTGATGTCACGATCATCGATTATACTCGATCATCGGTTGAACAGTGGCTCGAACCAAGCGCTTGGTTATCAAAATCCATAATCGATTTAATCGGAAATTTTTTTTTTAATTTGAACAAGAAAACTTGGAAAAGTAATGACAATCAGTACATGTATTATACACACAGTAGTAAACAGTGCAAAACAAACAGTAAACAGGGCTAAACAAGCACATACATGCACACACGTACATGCACACGACGTTATGCACACGCAGGCATTCAACGCCCCGAGTAACCGATTGTAACCGATCATCGGTTACTTGGGTCCAGCCGATGATCGATTACGAAATTACAACCGATTGACAACACTATTTTAAGCACATATCACAACTCCGTAACAGTAGAGCTCAACTCCATAACAAAGTCATTTGTTATGGAGTGCAGTGTTATGGAGTTGAAATTTTTACACAAAATGACCTTCAGCCACTCAGCAGCAAGATAGAATTTGAAATATTCTGTCATGTTATGGAGGGCCCTGCCCAAGTAGCATGATAGACATATTTGAAAAGTTGTTCCATCATCATGGTTACCATGGATATTAATGAATGTTATGGAGTGGAGTTTAGAAAGTATATACCTACCTGATGATGAAATAGAATGTGAAAATTCACAGAAACTGTGAGGAAGTGTCAACACTGAGAGCACATGACATATTGGGGGGTTACACAAACTGACTTTTTACATGAGGTACATGTCCTAGTTCTACTTCCCTTCACTAGGGGGCGACATTTCATTGATTGTTATTTGTTGGTGGATATATGTTTCCATGAAACCGACTGATCGCGTGATGTCAGTGTACGTCAGTGTGACGTCAGTGGCTAGCCACCACCATAGACCAATCACGCACGCACATCCATGAATGCATATATAGGGCACATCCATAATAATGCATAAGAGCGAACCAAAGTAGCGCACAGTCTAACGCCGCGCCTTCTTCTTGAGTGGTTGGTTCGAATCCCATCTTTTATTATTTTTATTTTCTATTTTTCCTATCTTTATCCATTTAACTATTTTTCCCCAATTAACGCAAATATTTACATGATTTATTTACAATTTTTTATTAAATTTTTTTTTTATTATAAATTAAATGTATTAGTGTTAATTAAATTTAATGAGGGTTAGGGTTAAGGTTTTTGCATCAGGTTATGTGCGTGACGTACACTGACGTCACGCGATCAGTCGGTTTCATGGAAACATATACCCACCTTATTTGTTATGGAGTGGAGTGGATTTGCCCGGACACCTGTATTTTCATTTTTTTTAGAAACTAGTGTATTTAATAGCTCTTTTTTGCTATGGATATTGTACTCCTATCAACTTTAAATGAACATATGGTTATAGGAGTGTTTGAATGTAGAAAACTTGAAGAAACTGGGACATTTAATATGCTGACATAGATCTCGGACATTCTAAAATGTAGCCAAAAAACATATTTTTCTACCTAAAACTCAAAAACCGTGTGCAATAAAGTGCTGAAAGTTTATTTCCAAGTGGAAATACCCCCAATCTACATTTTAATAGATATAATGCTTACTGGAATTCATTAATAAAAAAATGTGAGGCCTGGACATAAAAAAATCAAAAAGAAATTATTGAGAAAATTACCCATATACTCTTGCTTTATATATCCCTCCTCCCTCTTCTATCACACCCAAGGTGAGCTACAGTGTCATTGATACTTTCATTGGTATGCCAACGCTGCTAGACTGGATTCAGGAACAGTACCTGTGCTAACCTGTGCCTCCGAACATCCCACGCACGTTTCTTGAATGCCAACTAAAGTTGTGCGTGAGGTGTTCTAAATTTAAGTGCGTACAGTACTGTAATGATTCGGATTATTCGTACCTATATATATGTTCTCTCGAGTGTGTGTGTATCTGTATGTGTGTAGTGTGTGTGACTCGTGTGTGGCCCGTGTCGTATAGTGTACGCCCAATAACCTAGGTTCTGCTACGGCGCGGGTTACCCTGAGGTTACCCTGAGGCAATCACAAAGTAGACAGACACGGAAGTATAACGTATAAACAAGTGTCTATTTAATTGTTATACAAACTTACAGAGACAAGTTATTAGTTACATATTTAATGCAAGATCTCTAAGGAGTTTACACACGCAAATACATTTACTAGTCTTAAAAGGAGTTTTAAGACATACGTTTTAAGATGCATACTGTAACACGAATACGATAAGATCTAAACTATAACACGAATACGGTAAAACTTATTCATACTCGCATACCGGGAGAGAGAGCGAGAGACAGAGAGAGACTCCGAGAGACCCGGTTGGTTCTCTCCCTTCTCTCTCTCTCCTCTCCTCTCTCTCTGACTTCTCTGTTAGAAAACGTCTCTATTTAAGCAAGTCTGGATGTGTCACGTGATCTTAGTAGTGCTACGCTTCCAGGTTAATGTGTCTATGCAACAAGGCCACTGTCCTCTTTTTTAATGATAGGGGGAGGGTTTCTTTTGTATACTCGGAATGTCGTACTTGGCAGTACTCGTATCGAACTGCCTATAACGAAGCGAGTGACCAAGTGCCTGAGGCGTGTCCCTGTGTCGGATCTTAGCCTCGACAGACGTAGTCAAGAACCGTGCCTGTCTTGCGGTGTCGCTCTATATCGTAATGACTTTAGCTTCATTACAGTATGCATTTCTTCTTGAATCCGGCGCTGCGATCACTAGTGCATGCTGCTAGTTGCATGCTGGGGGTGTATTTTCGACGGGCCCATTGAGCCTGCTAGTATTAGAAATGCAGGCCCAAGCCTTAAAATACGGGCATCGGCCCGCGGGCCCGTTAGGATTTCGAACCCTGAATACCGTCGACACTTCCTGCAAACGAGGCGAATGCCTGGAGCATGGCAAAGATACGGAAGCTTCCAGTTATATTTATCTTCTCTGTATCAATGATCTTATGAATTTGAAAAATACATAATTCAATCGAAGATTTAAAAAAATATTATGAGTTAATTATTGTATCCCCCCGCGACGAAGTCGGCGGCGATACTATGGTTTCATGTCTCCCCAGCCGCCGCCGCCGCTCGGTCCGCCGCAGAGAATTTTCCTTCTGCTCTCTAACTCGGCCCCTAATTGACCTAGCGCTACCAAACTTGGTATACTTACACATCTTGGGGAGAAGGTGAGCAGGGTACCAAAACCAGGTCACTGCGACCTTTATTTGACCTTTTTACGATTGACGCTTGATCATATTTCCGCTTTGTCCGCTCTCCCTAACGTCGGCCCTAATTGAGCCTAGCGGTTTTTTTTCTAACCCAAGACTTGGTAATACTTACACATGCTTGGGAGAAGCTGCGGGCAGCGTACCAAAACCAGGCTCACCTGCCAACCTCTATTTGAGCCTTGAACATTGGACCTTGACTATATTTCCGCTTCCGCTCTATATCTCGCCCCTTAATTGACGCTAGCGCTACAAACTTGGTATACTTGACACGACTCTTGAGGGAGAAGGTGGCGCAGCGTGACACAAAACCAGGTCAGCTGCGACGCTCTCTACTTTCGAGCCTTTGACCATTGACGCTTGGCTCATATTTCCCTTCCGCTCTATAACTCGGCGCCTGTAATTGACCTAGTGCTACAGAACCCCAGGTCAGCTACCGACCTTTATTACAAATTCTACCTGACCTTGATCATATTTCCCTCTCGCACTCTATAACTGCGTCCCTAAATTGACCTAGCGTACAACCTTGCTATACTTACAGCAATCTTGGGAGAATGTGTGTCGCGTACGCGAAACCAGGTCACTTGCGAGCCTTTATTTGACCTTTACTGACCTTGATCATATCTCCCTTCCGTCTCGTAACTCAGGCCCTAATTGACCTACGGCTACCAAACTTGGTTATACTTACACATCTTGGAAAGGTGGTAGCAGCGTACCAAAACCAGGTCCATCGCGACTTTATTTGACCTTTCCATTGACCTTGATCATATTTCCCTTCCGCTCTCTAACTCGGCCCCTAATTGAAGGCGTACAAAACTTGCTATACTTCACATCTTGGGAGAAGGTGGCGCAGCGTACCAAAACAGGTTACTGCCACCTTTATTTGACTTTACCTTGACCGCGATCACATTTCCTTCTGCTCTCTAACTTCGGCCCTAATTGACCTAGCGCTACTAAACTTGGTATGCTTACACATCTTGGGGAGATAGGTGCGCAGCGTACCAAACCAGGTCACTGCGACCTTATTTGACCTTTACCTTGACCTTGATCATATTTCCTTCCGCTCTATATCTCGGCCCCTAATTGACCTAGCGCTACCAACTTGGTATACTTACACAGTCTTGGGGAGAGGTGAGCAGCGTACGCAAAACCAAGCGTCTGGCGACCTTTATTTGACCTTTTACCTTGACCTTGATCATATTCCTTCCTTCTCTCTTGGCCTTAATTGAACCTAGCGCTACCAAACTAGGTATACTACACATCTTGGGGAGAAGGTGCGGCAGCGTACCAAAACCGGTCACTGCGACCTTTATTTGACCTTTACCTTGACCTTAATCATATTTCCTTCGCGCTCTATAACTCGGCCCCTAATTGACTAGCGCTACAAAACCAGCGTCACTGCGACCTTTATTGACCTTTACCTTGACGCTTGATCATATTTCCCTTCCGCTCTCTAACTCGCCCCTAATTGACCTAGCGCTACCCAAACCTGTATACTTACACATCTTGGGGAGAAGGTGCGCAGCCACACCAAAACCAGGTCACTGCGACCTTATATTTGACGCTTTACCTTGACGCTTAATCATTTTTCCCTTGCCGCTCTATAACTGTCGGGCCCCTAATTGACCTAGCGCTAACAAACCAGGTCACTACGACCTTTATTTGACCTTTACCTTGACCTTGATCATATTTCCTTCGCTCTATAACTCTGGCCCTAATTGACCTAGCGCTAGCCAAACTTGGCTATACTTACACATCTTGGGGAGAATGTGTGTCGCGTACCAAACCAGGTCACTGCAACCTCTTATTTGACATTGACTTGACCTTAACCTTCATCATATTTCCCTTCTGCTCTATAACTCGGCCCTAATTGACCTAGCGCGACAAACTTTTGTATACTTACACATCTTGGGGAGAACACGGGGGATACATGTAGTTGACGACAACTGCCCTTTCTAGTTGATTACGACGTAATACATCACAACATCGCCGCAGAGCGGCAAAAGTAAACGATGTTTCAGGGGTAGAAATTAACTTTGGAACACGGGAGTCTAACGGACTCCCTACCCTCAAAAAGAGAGAGTCCGCATCAAAATGAGGGAGTCCGCAGTCTGAGGTTCAAAATTAATGATATTAAAAACAATTTAATGCATCCATGGGCTTATTGTGAGATTTGATGCGGTTGCACCTCTGCCAAATTTTCTTTGAACATTAGCTGAAAAAATACGCTAATTCCGCGAGGCCGTGCTCCGGAACGAACTAGTTAGTATGGCAGAAGTTGCAGGGAGTCGCACGGACTCTTGCATATGTCAAATCAGGGAGTCCGACAGTAAATCAGGGAGTATTTGACTCCGGACTCCCGTTAATTTCGCACCCTGCTGTTTGAAACATTCGACCTGATACTTTCACGTCTAAAAGCTTTGAATGAACGTATTCCAGAGCAATTTTTTACCTTCATACATACATATATATATATATCAGTGCTCGAAATAAGCGTTGTCCGGTTGTCCGAGACAACCAGAATGTGGGCGCCGGACAACCTAACCAGTCTGAGACATTGTCCGTGGACAACTAAGAAACAATAACCCCTAAACCCTAACACTGACTCTAAACCGACTCGGCTATCTTATATATACCGCGTGGTACCAATTAATCTATGGTGTATAACCTTTTGCTTTCAAATATTTTGCATCTGAACTGACAATCAATCCCAACCAACTGGTGTAGGCTAGCTGGCACAATAATGCATGTTCAGTTTCATACTTTAAATCGCGAGTGTTTTCTAGCATTATCAAGAATCTTAATCGTGAATGTAAATCGTGAATAATATAAAAATATGGGACCAGCTGCTATTTCAACACTGGTATATGTCTAGGTTTTCTGATTTATGAGAGGTGAACTCGATTGGAATCAGCAACCAGTCAAGTTTCTAAAATATTCTGGGGGAGGACCCCATACCCCCCCCCCATGCCTGTTTTTTCACCCTCCCTCCTTGAAATCCTAACCCGCCACTGAACAATTACATATCTGGGAGCAGAGAACAATGAACAAAAATGTTTGCTTTTCGGATGGATTGCAGAGCTGAGAGGTAGAGGAGCCGTAGGGTGTGGAGAGGGAAGCGGAGGAGGCCAGTAAAATATTAAGTCATCCACTATTTTGCGCAGTTCGGCTTGTTTTTGGTCGTCCTTGTTAAAAAATCCTGGCTAGCGCCACTGTTTTTGGGTGTTTTCTGATCATATTATTATGTGATTGAAAATAGGAGATTTGGGGATATTTTTTGGGACAACCAGAAATTGTTGCGGACAACCCGATTTGATGCCGGGGTTGTCCGCAGGACAACCACATTTTTTTTCTTATTTCGAGCACTGT